ACAGACTAAGCAGCGGTGGGTAATATTTAATTATTCATTAAGCAAGAGAGTAATCATTAATTAGGTGTAGAGATTCTTCTTTTCTCTCTAAACAAAGAAAAATTGGAAACTTCCAATTATGGACACCATATGGCTTATTTTATTGGTAACCTAATCCTAATCGGTGACAAAGGCTTCTTTAATGAAGTGTTCAAAGGAATATAAAAATGGTGCTAAGGAGATAATGGTTGGGACAACAGACGCCTATTATTGCATGTGTAACAGTTGGCTCATGAAAATGGGTCAAGATATTCTTTTGTTTTGCGGGGGAGTTTTTAAAGATTTTATTTGGGACGATTTTTTTATTGCTTCGTAAAATTATTTTTTAATATAAAAATATCAAGAAAGCAATAAAAAAATAGTGAACTGAAGCAGTATCAAGCTTCCTTTGGGATAGTTTTCTTATTGTTTCTTAAAGCTGCTTTTTAGTACAAAAATTAAAAATTTTCTGCTAAAAAGCTACTTTAAGAAGCATTAAGAAAGCTGTCCCAAATAAAACCAAAGGCTTTGGGGTTTCTACTAAAAAACTGCTTTAAGAAGCAGTAAGAAAGCTGTCTAGGGTTTAGGGCTTTGTTTGAGACAACTTTCTTACTGATTCTTAAAGTAATTTTTTAATATAAAATTTTAATTTTTGTATTAGAGAATTACTTTAATAAGCAATAAAAAAATAGTTCCAAACGAAATCTAAAATTCAAAATATTAAATTATTTAAGATTACAAAATTTATTTTAAATTACTCAATCTTATAGTTAATATAATCGTATTGTAGCGATAATTTTAAATATGAAAATAAATTTTGAGTTTTGAACAATTTTAAGGCATGAGGACTTGATCAATTCAAATGAAGTAGGGTAGCCAGTTTAGGAGGAGGCGGGGCCTTGGATCATCTTGACTTCCGTCAAATATCGTGCACTTCATCTGTTTAGATTTGGACTTGTCGGAGTTATTATGGCCTTTATAGACCTCAAATGTTTGAGTTTTTATTTTTTTTATTTTTTGCAATGTAGTGCTGCTTTCATAGAGAAAAACATTTTGACAAAAAAATAGTGGTTTATTATTACTATTTTCAACTCTAAATAATCCAACTATAAAAAAATTTATCCATGAAATACTTCGATTTATGGCATAAAAAGTTTTGAAACTATATACTCTATTTATTGAACAAAGACATCATTGGTGGTGACTTTCACCTAATATATATATGTCTAGTTCTGCATATGGGTGTTAATTTCGGGTCACGGGTCGGGTTCGGGTCAAACCCGGAACTGACCCGAGTTCAAACGGGTCGACCCTAACCCGACCCGGGTAGACAAACGGGTCCGGGTTTTCGGGTCGACCCGGCAACCCGTCGGGTCAACCCGAACCCGACCCGTTTTTCAAATGGATTGAATCCTAGAACACGAATCTGACCCGTTTTGAAGTTGGGTCGGGTCCAACCAGGATTTTTTGGGTCGGGTCCGGATCGAGTTTTCATGTCGTGTCAAATATTGATAGCCCTAGTTGTTAATAAAACCTATTGGTTATTGGCTAGCCAGGGTCGACGCATCCCCCCAGAATGACGACTCTACAAGAAATCATTAGATTTCTTTAGGTTGATGTTTATCTTATCAGTGATGATTATTTGTTAGACCGACTATAATTGTATACATATAATTAGATTTGAATTAAATTAATTAAATGACTTACATGTCATTGTGTGGTCCTCATATATCTAGTGTGGTGCGTTTGTAATATTGTAATAATTTGACATAAATAGTGATATGTCACAAAAAAATTTACCATGATTGGGCATGATCTCGATGCAAATATGAGTCGAAAGCTCTAAAAAGTTACTTTAGAAACAAACCCAACGACATAAATTCGATCCAATTAGAACCCAAATCAAGGGGACAAAGCGTTTTTAAAAGCTTTAGAGCATCAATTGAATACTCAAATGAGTTCCAAATATGACATTCTTATAGTTTAATCGAGTGGCTCGATGAGATGAATCCAATGAGCTCAAGATCACTCAATTTTGTAACATCAATAAGGTAGTTAAATGCTCGATAAAAAAATGCTCTATAATCAAGGGGATTAACATGAGCCATTCGATGAAGCACTTTAAACTTTCCCTTGATGTTCTTAATATTTATTAGTCATGTCACCCTCAAAAAATTATAAATAGTCCTCCATTTTTCACAGAAGAATGAGAGAGAAAACAAAAGGGGAGATACAAGAAAAGAGGAAAGAAGGGAAAGATTTGGGAGCTCTCATGCCACTGACCACCGCCGATTCTCTTTCTAACCACCGATCATCATTGGACTTATGCCTGTTCATTGACCATCCTCAAATTTCTTCCCGAAAATCACCTAACTTCCACTCCTTGGACATTATCATCATCAGACCTTTGTTAAACATTCCCCTAACTCTTGCTACCATATTTTTAACATCTGTCATTCAATCGAGCTCAAGACATTAAACCTTTTCACTTTTTCGCTGCGAATTTCTCAGCCCGCAAAAAAAAAAAAAAAAATGGTATATATACATGTATACCAAAATTTGTTATAGAAAACATGACATATCTCATGGCTGTTTTGATATTGAGATTATAGAATATTACTTCTTCATTTTGGTTGTTCATACTACATGTCCCACTCCTTTGTCGGTTAAGCCTTGATAGATAGGAATTACTTTTTAAGTTAATCAATCTCACCCTTTGTCTTTTCCAGAAGGTCCTGTAGGTATATTTAGTGGACCGTTACCTCAGGAATAGGGTTACCAGCTTTAGACTATTTTTTTATTTTTTATTTTATAGTAGTTTATTATGTTTATAATTTTTGTGTGTTGGGTAGTCTTTTTTCTGCTTTTCATTTATTATATTTCAGTTGGCTTGTATTAGAATTCTTGTTATATTGATGTACTGATTATTTGAACTTCTATCAATCAGTTGACTCTTTATTTCACTTTCTTTATTTACTATGATGCATATATATATCATGTTGTATCTCTTGTATATATATGCTTCTCTTTGTAAATACAAACCGGTCTTCCTATCCTTTCATTATGTCCCATATCAGGGGTGTGACATATATTCTCCCCTACAATGTAAGGGTTTGTGCCTTGTTATATCATAAAGTAGTGCTCAACATTTTTTGAAATTGCTATTTGATCCCATCTTTAGTGTCACATAACACATAATGTTAATTATGAAAGGAACTATTTTTTAAACATATCAAATTAATATATTTTAATGCCTTCTTTAAATATATAAAATTAGCTTATGCTCTCTCTCTCTACTCCATATATTTATATTTATAGCAATCCACATAAAATATGTTGAAAATGCATTATTTTATAGATAATAGAATATTGCATGATAATATTTATGCTTCGTTTGAGACAGTTTTTTTACTATTTTTTAAAGTAATTTTTAATACAAATTTTTAAAGTAAAAATTATTGTACTAAAATAATATTTTAGAAAAGAGTAAACATCTCTCCTAAATGAATTTTTTTAATAAAATTAAAATTATATTGAAACCTCTCAAATTTATAAAATTATGTTTGGATATGATGAGAGCGAGAAAGTCATAGAAGCTAACAAAACCAAAGTCTCATAAAATAAAATAAAAAATTATGACCTAAAATGCTATGCCCCACTTCTTGAAAAGAATATTTATTTATTTTTTAATAAAGGAGTATTATTTAGCTACGGCAATTGAGAATCCTAATCATTTATTGCAGAGCGGCTGCCCCCCCACGTTTTTCATATATAATCCTATTCGATTAGAGGTTGCAAGCCATTAAAGAATGCTTTATTAAGATATCATAGATGGAATATTTTATTTGTGATTAAAAACAAAGGATAATTAGAAAATAATTCATATCAGGATGATAAGATAAATTATATAAAATTATAAATTAAAATTTTTTATTGAAATAAAAAATAATTCATGATATTATATTTATTTATATTTACTTGTCTTCTAGCTTTGAATATTTATCTGATAAGATATTTTTTTTATTTATAAATTTGAGTTTTTGAAGCTTATTTATAAGCTGGTTGAAACACCTTTGCAATCCTTTCCCATAGCATTATATGCTTTAATTTCTTATTTATATTTATATTTCAATAAGAAATAAAAATATATTTAATATTTAAATAAATATTTTTATTGTAATTAAATATGGGATAATAGGAGGTAATTTTTTGCTTGTGGCAGTGGTGACTGGTGATTGACTGAGATGGGTTGGTGGTGATTGAGATGATTTTTATTAAAAGAAAAAAAAAATCTAAAATATACTTAAATTTTTTTTAGTATTTTTAAAAAATATTTTATTTTATTTGGAAAATAAAATAATAAAAAACAAATTAAATATATTTTTCTAAAAAAAAAAAAATCATAATGTGGTCTCAATCAGACCCTTAACCTTCACTAGTAAGAAAGCCAAACTTTGAACTTTTGTCACGCATAAAATTAAGGTGTGAGCACTGAATTTGTTGCATTAATTATTAATTTCACTGTTAAGATTTCGGCTTGCTAGAAAGAAAGCTGTTTATGAAATAAATAATCTAAGATATGCCATTCGGTTGAATATATTAATGCAAAATGCTTATTTTAAGTTGTTTTCAGCTATGCAGAAAAAAAAAGTTATAAAACAGTTCTAGAGGTGGCTAATAAAAATATAAAAAAATCACTATTTAAATTTAGAAATTAAATTTTTACTTTAAAAATAAATAAATTGTGCGTTAGATATTTTTCTTGTATTTATTTCTTCCAGAAAATGACATCTTTGATATTTGTGGTTGGAATTTAGAGACGCAAAGTTGAATGTTGAAATTTGAATAAAGTAGAAGAAGAAATAGAATCACAAGAACTTATAAAAAATATGCTCAATGTTCTCATAAAAATATAGTTCAAAATATTCATAATATAACAATATTTGTATAATATGTATAAGAGAAAACATGTACATGAGGTAGATAGAGAGAGAGAGAGAGAGTATGAGAGAGTATGAGAGTAAGGATTTGAGCCTTTAAGAGAAGGTTTAGGTCTACCAACTGGTGGTTGACAGATAAGGCTCCTTAACCACACAAGCGCCAACTCTCTCTTCAGAGAAGTTTGAGAAGCAACTGTATCTTGGATTAAAAGAGAGTTAAAACTAGGAAAGCAAAGAAGAGAGAGAGAGAAGCAGCAAGTAAGAAAGCTCCACCGTACTATTCTTGAATTGAGAAGATGTCTCACGTGCAGGATAGAATGTTGGGCTTGATGATGATGATCATTTGATGAAGAGAGAGAAAAGGATAGATAGAAAGGAGAGAGGTGGTGATTAGAATACAGTTGAAAACGGATTCCGGAGAGAAGGTGGAGGGAAAAAACAATTGAAATAGTGATAAAGGTCGGATTTTGGGTTGTTTTCAACTGGTGATTTTGGTGTTTTTTTATAAGGCCGATGAAAAGGGCTCTTTTTTAAATTTATTTTGTATTTTGGGATCAGTTTGTCTCCAAACTGGGATATTTTTCTCAGCAGATCGGCTGCGAGTAATTCCTTTTTGCTCCCCATAAGGTGCACATCATGCCCTTCACAGCTTCTATTAATTTTTTTTTTTTTGTTTCAGTCAGTTTTTTTACATTTGGTTTTTAATCTGCTGTTTTAAAATCTGCCAGAGTTTTCTTCAGTTTAATTTATTTTTGATATGTGGATGGTACCAACTACTTTCCTACTGTGTTTTTCTCATATAATTATTGGTTTTCAGCTTATTCTATTTGCTTATTGAAGTTCTTTTGGTCGTTGGAGTTTTAGGTTTTCTTGTTCTTGGTCCTTCCCTCTTGTTGTGTTCTTAAGAATTTTTTTTTTTTTGTTTCAGTCAGTTTTTTTACATTTGGTTTTTAATCTGCTGTTTTAAAATCTGCCAGAGTTTTCTTCAGTTTAATTTATTTTTGATATGTGGATGGTACCAACTACTTTCCTACTGTGTTTTTCTCATATAATTATTGGTTTTCAGCTTATTCTATTTCTTATTGAAGTTCTTCTGGTTGTTGGAGCTTTAGGTTTTCTTGTTCTTGGTCTTTCCCTCTTGTTGTGTTCTTAAGAGTATAGCATCAATTTTCTTTTTGGAATTTGTGGTGCTTCTTCTTTGGGATATAGAGGATTGAGGTAACATGTTTGACTCTCTTATTAGAGGATAAGTATAATCTTTATCTATGTTCTTTCACCAGCAAAAGAAAAAGTTTTTCTTGTTTTTTTTTGCGATTTTCAATTACTAAATTTAAGATTGGCTTCTGAGAGAAATTGGACGGGACATGGATAGGTGATTACTGTGGTTTGGTTTGTTTGATTATTTCTATGAAGCTAGGGTTTTTAAGCTCTTCAATCCCCCCCAACAGTTTATCGAAGCTTTGGAATTTTGGAGCTTGCTTGTCTTGCCTGTTGGCTTTGACTTTTGGTTATATCATAATTATTAGAGCTTCCAAGCTTTGTTTTTTATTAAGGAGTCTTGAAACTGTTTTTTTTTCCTTATCAAATACTGAAATGAAGAAGGATGACAGAGAAACAGATTTTCTCATAGTGAAGTAGCTTTTGATTATACCTTTCTTTGTCATTGGAATCTTTTAATTTTTCATGTTAATCTGTAGAAATTGGGTTTAATTGGTATTTTAGAGGCATGGACTTAGAGAAATATTTGTCCAAGCAAAAAAGCTTTTCATGAAGGCCTCCTACCAGCAAATACTTGTAGGAGATATAACGTAAAACGATCCTGGAACTTATATGATGATTGAGCTAGCTGTGATTTTGTTCCTTGTAGTTTTCTCTCTTTTTTTTCTTTTGAAATATAAAATTTTAATTGCGTGTTCTGCTACTGATCTTGTGAAATATTGTGCTTGATTCCTAATTCTAGTTTTTTTTTTCCTTGTTGATCTCTTTTCAAAAATAAAAGGACCGTTGACATCTATTGAACTTCTCATCATTATGATTTGATTAAAGTTAAACTGAACTCTTCAATATCATGTTCTTCTTCAGCATCGTTGAGAGAAATGACAATTTTTCCCCCAATTCCTGTAAGTGAAATGGGGGTGTTGCTTAGCTGCTTTATCTTACGTTATCTGTTCGAGAAAGTACATATTCCTTCATGTTTACAGCCTTCGCTATATCTTCATTACTGTTGCCTTCTGGTTTGACATCTTAGTTAATTACTGAAATAATCTGCATTCTGTTTTCCTTCATACCTGTGCTTCTCCTCTTATTATTCTCTTAAGCAAAAATTTAATTTTCATTCACAACTGCTGTTTTATTCTCTCTTCATAATTTGTTGCAGCATATATTTTCTGTAAAAAGCAAACTTTTACGGATTGGATTGGATGTTTATGATGATTTAGTCAAGATCCAGACTTTTCTATTTTTTATGCTCCCAATTGGCTAATCATTAAGGAAGATGAGAAAGATGGCTACTTTCTACCCCAGTTCCACTAATCAAAGGGATGTCATGGGAAATCTCTATTTGAGGGATCCAACAGGGCATGCCATGTATCCTGAATCAGCAGTTAACGGTAATATGGTTTATCTTAACATCTCATCTGGTCCATACTCTGAGACATTAGCAGGGAGCATACAATCCGAACAAAACTGCATTGGATTTACCGACTTAGTTGCATCTCAGCTTGGTGAAAATGCTTACAATTCATGGAGGGATGGAAGGAATGAGATGCTCTTCCTGCAAGCAAACGGTGAATCAATGGCTGGTGATGATTCCCAGATGGGTCTTCAGTCACATTTGGGTATTTTGAATGAACATAACTTGTCTTTACAGCACTCAAACATTTCGAATGTGCAAGGTCAAGGATTGTCTCTTAGTCTTGGCATGCAGATTCCAGTTCCTTCTTTCAAGTATCAGCCTAATCAGTCTGATGTAGCCATCTTGAGTTCACATCAATCAAGTTCAGGAAATGGCGAGGCATATAGAAATGATGACTCTAGAAGCAGAATTCAGAATATCAATGTTCCGTCTTATGGGCTTTCCAACATCACAAGTGCAATTCCTAATTCCAAGTACCTTAAAACTGCACAGCAGTTGCTTGATGAAGTTGTTAATGTTCAAAAGGCTTTAAAGAAGAAAACTGATTGTACACAGAGTTTTAACACTTCTGGTAAACAGGCTTGTAAAGACAATGATGGAGAGTCAAAGAGTGGTGGGAGCCCAACGAATCATCCAGGGTCTACTGCAAACTCTTCTAGTGAGCTATCACCATCAGAAAGGCAGGAACTTCAGAGTAAAATGACGAAACTTGTGGCTATGTTGGATGAGGTAAAGATTCATGCACTTCTCCCTAATGGTTCATTCTTCTTTAGCATCTATTGAAATCTTAACAGAATGTTAGAAAAATCTATTATGGTTGAAATTTGGAATTGTTTCCTACAGTTTCATTATAAGTAGATGTTCTATAAAGTTTTCACCGCATTAACTTATCCAATTTTTTTATGAAGTTTTTTTATCATTTGTTGATATAATTTGCTATAAATTATTTTTAAACTTTATAATGTTAATCACAAGCATGAATCAGAACTATTTTGCTCAGTCCTTAGTGCATTACATCTGGATTTTGTTAGAGCTGAAGGAAAAAGTTATATTTATATGATTTATTTAAATTCAGATAGGTGAGGTTTTAGCAAATGAGGAGAAAAAGTTAAACTGTTATCTTTATGATCATGGTAATCATTTTTATGTCAGTATATTTTACTGTTGGATAGATCATCATTGCATGAGTTTTTTTTTTTTTTTACCTTTCACTTGATAGACGATATATATTCTTCTGGCTAATGATGGTTGTTAAGATAGAAGCTCCAAAGAAAAAGTTGACGTGCTTCAGCTATTGCAAAATAAATTTTGAAGAACAAATTGCTCTCTTCAGCCGACTTGTCTTATGCAACGCCTTTATTGTAGTAGAAATTTGTAGTATACGCTCATAATGAAAATGCATTATTGATTGATGTAAAACCAAATAAAGGTGCTTTTTTCCTCATTTTTTTCGTCAACCAGCTTGTCCTATGCAACGGCTTTATTGTTGGAAGAATTTGGAGTGCTCATAATGCATATGTATAATTTGTTGATATATTACTAGATAAAGGTGCTTTTTTGTTTCAACTTTTTTTTCTCATACTGATTTGTCCTATTCATCACCTTTATTGTAGGAGGAATTTGGAGCATTACACTCATAATTCATATGTATAATTTGTTGATATAGAACAATATAAAATTAGAATTATTAGAATTTTTTTTGTTATCATATAAATATTATCATAGATACTTAATATTTATTAAGAATTTATAAAATTGATTATTATAATATATACTCATTATGGAGTATATTCTTCTTCATCATACTTTTCTTATTGCTATTTTCATTTTTGCATTTATATTGTGAATTTTGTATTAGAATCAGAATCATTAAAATAAAAGTGTAGATTTTTAAAAAATTTTCTCATGATGTTAGAGCCACCTCTTTATGTTTTCGTCTTTGCCTCTGCTTGAAGACAACCCTGGGCTTGTATCTCTTAATTTTTCTTGCATTATACAAACTCTTGATCCCCTTATTATAGCATCGTGAGTTTGTGGGAGAGTATTAAAGTTTTCAGAATTTTTTTATTATTATATTATTATTAGCATATATGATTAATGTTTATTTGGAATGTATAATATTGATTATTATAATATATCCTCATTATGATGTTATTCTACTTTATTTACTTTTCTTGTTGCTCTTTTTTTTATTGCCTTTATATAAGCATATTTGTACTACATTAGAATCATTAAAATAAAAATGTTGCTCTTTACTAATTTCTATGCAACTCCTTTATTGTAGGAGTATACACTTGTAATGATACAGAACTAAATAGATATGCTTTCCATTTTTTAATCTTTTTCTTCATCAGATTTGTCTTACTTCTTCATTGTTGGAGTAATTTGGAGTGTACACTCATAATGCATATGTAGAATTTGTTGATATTGAACTAAACAGAAAATAAAAGCATGAAAATTTGGTGAATAAAATTTCTATGCCAACTCCTTTATAGAGGTACATTAAAGTTCTGTGAATAAAAGCATGAAAATTTGGTGAAACTTTTGTTAAATTTCGTTTATTTTACACCCACTTTCTCATACTTCCTCATTGTATCAGAGTTGATTTCTTTCTTATCTCTGTTTGGTGTTTTTTTTGCTTCAGCTTTTTCCTGTTATTTCAAATTCATTTGCCTTCTAGATTCCTTTGTCACAGAACAAATCAATGTATCACAAAGAACCTAATTTGGTAAACGTATAATCAAAGTAGTACCATATTGGCATTATGGTGGCAGTTAGGAGCTTTCTGTTTACATAAAGTACTGGGGAAAATTATAGCTTTAGTTAAAAATGGCTGTATAAGCTAGAGTAGGATTCGTATGTCGTTATTTCAAGCCAATTTTTTTTCTTTTCCATAATTTTGATACTCCAAACCCATCTTACTAACTACAAGCACTAATTTTGATACTCCACACCCATCTAAATGAACCTTGTAGATTGTAATGTTTATTTTTTTGGTTTTTCTTTTCTCCTTAACTTTTTGGAAAGTGGTTTTCTTTAATGTTGGAAAGATTGCTTAAAACAAAGCAATATTGCACGTGAGCCTTCTGGAAAAATCATATTCTTATGCAAGATTATTTAATTTCAGATATTTCCTGTTCTTGAGTTTCATAACCAGTTCTTCTGCTTCTCCTAAGCAGGTTGACAGGAGATACAAGCAATATTACCATCAAATGCAGATAGTTGTTTCATCTTTTGATGCAATAGCAGGCTCTGGTGCAGCAAAGCCTTACACAGCTCTTGCCCTTCAGACAATTTCTCGCCATTTTCGCAGCTTAAGAGATGCCATTGGTGATCAGATTCGATGCACACGAAAAATCCTTGGTGAGCTAGATGGATCTACAGGCAAAGGATGTGGAATTTCTCGCCTTCGATACATTGATCAACAGATAAGGCAGCAGAGGGCCATTCAACAGCTTGGTATGATGCCACAGCATGCTTGGAGGCCACAGAGAGGGTTGCCTGAGAACTCTGTCACCATTCTTCGAGCTTGGCTCTTTGAGCATTTTCTTCATCCGTATTGCTCTAAAACTATTCTTAACTTATCATGGTGATTGGAGAATTGGAATGTTGTTTCTGTTATTCTGATTTTTTTTTTCTCTGTTTCCAGCTACCCAAATGATTCAGAAAAGCTGATGCTATCAAAACAAACGGGCTTAACAAGAAGTCAGGTATGCGTTTAATGATCAAGTTATCTGTAGAAAAACCATCGCCTATAGTTTTGAAAAAATATTGGATTTATTTTGAGATGAATGTAATATCAATTCTGATCTATTACTCATATATTATACTTTCAAATTTAATGGCTTAATGACTTATGTGATCCAATTTATTTCTATAGTTTTTTTTTTTTAGACAAATGAGCTGCATCTGATCTCCTATGCATCTAACATTCTGGAATTTCTTGAAAAGCTAAGAAAAGGAAATGATTGTACTTGTTTCAATTTGAATTTCTGTTCTCAAGTTGCAGATTTCTGTTTCTTTTTTCTTATTTCAAGTCAATCCATTAGTTTTGGAAATACTTCTAGATTCATTAATGTTATTTCCCTTGAAAAACTAGCTGTACTGCAATGAATTGACCTCAATGCCATCCTACTCTGGTACATATTAAGTAAAATATGGACTATTTGATAAGCCAAGTACCAACCATAAGAAAGTTCCTACTCTTGATAACTAAATAGTAAAACATCCATGAAAGCTGGATTATTTATGACGGTTAAGAGGATTCTTAAAATGTTTCACATGTAAATAAAATAATTCCTGTATTTTTAATAATATTCAACATATTAAGGGCTACTCTTTTAATGTTTAACTTGAGAGATAATTTTGATTTTTTAACACACAAGGAGATTATTTTCGTACTTTTATTATAGAAGATTTCATTGTTAGTGAGCTTTGGCAGACCAAAGTATGATACTTATAATCAAGGCTCGGTTTGGGACAGATTTCTTACTGTTCTTAAAGTGGCTTTCTGATAATGCTTCTCAAAGCAACTTTCTGGTACAACAATTTTAATTTTTTACTAAAAAGTTACTTTAAGAAGCAGTAAGAAAGTCATTTTAAACAGTCTAAGTGGTCAAATTTCATCAACTTAAATGAATACTAGTAAGAAGAATTGGGAAATGCTTCAGCGTAGTTAAAAAAGTTACCCAATTACTCTTAAGGGCCCATTTTGTTGCTTGAGATAGAAAACAAATTTTGAAGTTATGCTAAATCTGAGCATATGGTTGGATATAATTATATTCTAAATCTTCTCATATCTAACATTTTCACACACACAAAATGTGTAAAAAATGAAATTATTGTATTCCAAAACATATTTCTGTCTATAAACAGCCAAAGGAACCTGAATATAGTGTTCAAAGGCCATCATTCATGAGTGTCAAATGGTTAGTTCCTTTTTCATAAGTAGAAAGGAAAGGTTGTGAATGGATCATTGCTTCTGTTTCACTTTTCAGTACTTTTGTCGGCATTTTCATCATTCCATTTGCTAATTGTTTCTACAAAGATTCGATTTTTTTTTTCAGATTCATCATGAAATCCTTTTCCTTTATACTAAATAGTGTATTTATGATTGAATCTCTTCCTCCCAGGTTTCAAATTGGTTCATCAACGCGCGTGTTCGCCTTTGGAAGCCAATGGTTGAAGATATGTATAAGGAAGAGTTTGGTGAGGCCGAGATGGACTCGAACTCTTCCTCAGATAATGCAACCAAATTTAGAGATGAGTTTCATTCTACCGACACTCATGAGGACCAACCAAGCTCCGCAAGTGAGAGGATCCAGGCGAAGCTATCAAACAACGAATCTAGTCCTAATATCATGGCAGAAATCAATGTGGCTTGCGCAAATCCTGGCTTCGAGAATGAGCTACAAGACCAGAGACAGCAAAATTCACCCTACATCAATCTTCTCCACAACGCCATCCACCACTCAAGGTTCATCAGTTATCCGATGACAGAGCTTTCGAGGTACGCAAATGGAGTGTCACTGACACTGGGATTGCAGCACTGTGATGGCAACCTGCAAGACTCAGAAGACCAGCAAGGCTTCCTTCCAGTGAGAGGCGAGGATATATACAATGCAGCTCCTTTACTCGGGTTTGGCTCATCGAATCTGCTGCATGATTATGTGGCTTGATTCATGTTTGTTGTATGATTTGTTGCAGTTGAAAAAGCTCTGTAATGTGAAAGCAGTTCTACCATTGTGTGTTATGATTGAAATTGTTAGGAACAGATAGAAGTGGAAATTAGCATTTGATCATTAGTCTGATATACTAGAAATGGAGTGGGATTTATATGAAGGATAGCTTGTTGTAAAAAAAACAAAATGATAATTGATAAATATTTTTGTGAAATATGATGAACAAAGTGTAATTTTGTATAATTTGATTTGTGCAGCAGCTGACTTGGTCCTTTTTTTTTTGTATGAATCCTTCTCTCTTCTACATTCTTCTCCATACATTGGACCCTCTTTTTGTGGATGGATGCTTCTCACGATTAATTATGCTGTGCGGATGCCCAACGTCATTCGGAGACCAACTAGAATGCGGCACGTCACCCTTGCTCGGTATTGCGGCTCGGTACTGTTGATGTGGCGTATTCTGGTTGATCTCCTGACGGCGTTCTGCTTCTCGTCTCCGCACATAATAATTTTTGGCTTCTCACACCTGTCTCAGCCAACCAAATTATTTTAATTTACTTTAAAAATATTATAAAATAGTCTATAAATAAAATCAGAAGGTTCCAACAGTGAACTGTCATAGGCATAAAATAAGACAAACCATCCCAAGTTGTACTCTAACTTTCAAGTTAATAATGGCTTAATTACAATTAATTTGTTTAAACTTATAATTAACTTGATGATTATCTCTGCATGCAATATATATGCATGTCTGAGTGAATGGACCCTAAACTAGAATATATATAGATTGTGCATATCTATACATTTTTTTATTTATTTGTTTATCTGTTCAGATGCTTATTTATGTTATAGAAGAGAGCTTACATGTATGCTTTGGTGCTTTTATGTGTGATCAATTAAGAAATGTTCATTTTCAAAATAGACTCCCATTACATAAAAGTATCAATTTAAGCTTCATTTGGGACGACTTTTTTACTGCTTCTTAAAACAGTTTTAAGAAGCAATTAGAAATTCGTCCCAAACGAAACCTTAATCTCTTTAATATTGATCAAATTTGTAATTTTGTGGGATCCTTTATCTCCATAATTTATGAAAAAAAAAAAATAATGAATTGATATAATAAGAGAGAGATGTAGAGAAAAGATATAACACTTTAACCGGAGGAGTTTGCATTATATTCAATATTTGCTAAAATAAATTTGGTAATTTGTTATTTTTGAATTCTGATTATACTATTGCAGTATTACTCTGATACAGTGAGCTCCTTAATAAATTTTGTTTAAAATAGATGTTCAGAGAACGTGGATGGCAGTGCCTGAGCTACCATAGGTTATGTTGTCCTTTAGCTTGCATAGAAAGCCAGAGCTAATTTGTTTGGCATCCTGAGGAACTACTGAAGCACTGAGCGCTGAAAACAGAAGAACGATGAATGAAGGAGAGAGAAAGAGACAGCTTTTTTATGGAAGGTTATAATATTTTAAGTTTATATAATTTTAATATTTTCATTAGTTTGAAGATTTGAATTTTTTTTGCTGGGTTTTATATTACTTTGTTAGTATAAATATTTTGAAAATATAAAATAAGAGAGATTTAAATTATAGCATATGATATTTGTTAATGTTTTGTTGATGAATTTCTACTAAGAATTTAACAGTTTAAGATGCAACTCTTAAAATCAGCTGAAATAAAATATTAACTGATCTTCAATTATTTTTTTATCAATTTTAAATCACTCAAATTAGATTTTGTTTTGGTGATGGGGAGATGACAATCATTAGCTAAGATCTTTAGCATGTAATTAGTCCTTAACAAAAGGCTGACAATTATTACAAGACTGATATCAGGCTTTGGTTTTGTTCAGGAGCAATCACATGCTCCTTCAATGTGATGCAGCTCATGGTGGAGGCTTCAGGAGTTATCACATACAGATATACGATCTGAGTCTTTGATTTTATTCATATTTAGATTTTGTTTGAAATAGTTTTAGATCACTAATTTTTCTTGTTCTTAAGAGATTTTTATAATAAAAATTAGTTTTACAAACAATGGCTTTCTTACTGTTTCTTAAAGTAACTTTTTAATATAAAATTTTTAAATTGAAAAGTTATTTTAAAAAGTAATAAAAAGCCGTCCCAAACTTAGTCTTATGCTATATTTTTTTTCAATTTTATTTGGCTTTCCTTCTCTCTTCATTGTCAAGGGTTCATTTGGGTGAGCATTGCTTCTTTTTTATGCTGCTCATATAACTTCATTTTCCATAACTTTTTCTTAACTTGGAATCTTTCTTATAATGTAACCTCATTTTAGAAGTTAATGAACTCATGGGGGTAAGTGACAAATTTATAAAAAAAAATAAAAATATATAAGGGTGCAAAAATAATCTATTTTACATATAATCATTTTTCACGGATTTGTTTCTTAGTGTTAGAAAAGTTCAACATAATTAAATGAAAATACCCGAAGGCCAAGAGGCTTTTTGATTTTTGGATGGACAAATTAAGTGAAAAAGATCGGTTTGGGCAAATTGAGTGAAAAAAGATTGGTTTGGGCAAAAAAGAACTTTTTAGTACAAAATTTTTATATAAAAAACTGCTTTAAAAAATAATAAAAAAATCATCCCAAATAAAATCTTAAAAGGAGAAAATTATTAGAAGCACATAAATGTGTTATCGAACGCATGAATACACAACGGAATACTACTATTTTACACGCATAACATACAGTATTCACAGCTACTAATTTTTCATCATCATTAAAGCGGAAGCAACACAGCAAGAAGAGGTTTTTCTCATATAGTCATATGCCAGGATGCTTCAGAAGGTCTGAATGGCATTGCATTCCTTCTCTCATAACACTACATTATACATCTCCCTTACTCCTTTCACTTCCATTCCATCTCTCTCCTCTGTTTTTTGAGATTCTCAATGTTTCAGCTTGTTTCTGCACACACATTCAATATCTAAGTATGTAGGTACGGCGATCATTGGTTGGCCTAGTGACTTTTTTGAGTCAACAGATGCAGCAGAGTACTGAGTATGAACTTCTGATCTCTTTTCCAACAAAATAATAATAATAAAAATAAATTTTTGATTTCCGTCGATGACTTTTCACACACCTCAATTAAAGGTGAAGTTTTAAAAAGATGTGAAAACGCAAAAAAAATAAAAAAAATATTGTCCTTTTAGATCTTTTTAAATTACCTTCTAATTATTTTTTTCTCCTAACTAAGATTTCATTTGAAACAATTTTTTTATTGTTTCTTAAAACAAATTTTTATCCTTCTTACACTAAACCTAAATCTTCAACCATGATGCTTTTTAAAATTTCATCATATAAATCTTTGAATGGGAGTGTGAGAACTGGACTTGGCCGGTTCAATTGAATAGGAATGTTCTTTCAGCAGGACGACATTCTGCGAGCGGGACCGAAGCAGGTAGTTGACCGAGTAGTTATATGTGTGTGTAAAACCTCCATACGGGGTCGGTTCGTGGTTCTAAGCGAAGGAACACGTACGGGAGTAAAAAAAACGACTCATCGTACGAGATATCTCTGTTTCATTCACTCCTATAAGAATAAATCGCATGAGAAGCTTCAACCGAGAGAATTGAGCGGAGAGGAAGAAGAAAGAGAATGAATGTATTTTATTTTTTTCTTTCTCATTCACTGTGTGCATTTCCTTCGTGACTTAAACTTAAGAAAGTATTCAAATCTCTTTTAAAAATGAAGGAAGAAAACTTGAAAGAGAGAAGGATTTTGTCTTGGAAAAACTCCTTTGTAAAGGATTTCAATCATATATTTTGCTCAAATTTTGAAGAATAGTATATATATATAATTTATTTTGATGTATGATTTTAAAAAGGAAGAAAACAAATTGGTGGAAGTTCTATTTGACAAGAAGAAACAAATTGAGGTAATATTTCTTTAAGGGGACAATTATGTGATATTTGAAAGTTAATAAAAATAGTTATGTAAAGTTGTGTGAAACTTTAGGCTTCATTATAGAAGATTAATTCCAAAGCTCGAGATTTGAAAGGAATAAAGCTCAAAAGCAATTAAAGTGGATAATTTCAATTTTCAATTGTGTTATATCAATTCCCAATTCCTTTTATGTTATTTAATTTCATTTTATTTATTGCAACTATTGTATACTATAGTATTATGTTGATGGAATGAATGTTATGTTGACGAAATGATTATTGTATAATGAAGATTATATGAATAGAAATGGAAATGGAAACAAATAATTTAACTGAAAAAAAAAATAAAAAAATCCAAACATTTTTCTAAAAAGCTTTAGAACATTCTTTTCTCCCCATTCAACTATAATACTCCTCTAGGGGTGGGGGAAAATCACAATCTTCTTCATTTCTTCTCTTTTTTTTTCATCTCCACTTCTTCTAACATTAGAGGCATTTCAATGTCTTAGATAGTTGGCATTATCTATCAAACTTCAATGCCCCTCTTTGTGTAGGAGTATTTCTTGCCTTTCTTCCCCTTCTTTCTCATGCTTCTTCCCACATTAGAGGCATTTTACTATCTTGGATAGGCCGTATTCCCTATCAAGCCTTAGTACTCCTCTTTTTATAGAAGAAGTAGCCCTTGCCCTTCCTTTCCTTCTCTCTCATATTTATTCATTGCTTCTTCTTACATTAGAGTCATTTCATTGTCTTTGAAAGGGGGCATCCCCTATCAAGCTCCAATGCCCCTCTTTGTGTAGGAGTGTTGATTAGAGTTTATTCTTCCTATAGACTACCCATGATAGAAGAAGATCAATCACCTCTTGCATGAGAGGATGGCCTGAAAAGATTTGGTGATGGTAAACCCAAGAGAAGACTTGGTGATAGTTAGCGTTCAAGTAGAAGTTCGGCGATGGTTGATGATTGGGATGGGATCCGATGATCATAAATTGATCCTTTGATATAGAGAGTCAGGTAGTATGCCGATGAAAGCCTAATGAAGGTGGTTAGGTGACATTCTGACATTAACACTTGGGCGAGAAGCTAATGGCGGCGATTGGAGGGTGTGTTGCTAATGATAGTCGAATGAGTGGAGAATGATGGCTGATAGGAGGTGAAAAATCGACGAGGATGGCTGAGAGGCAAAGGGCCATTAGTGGCCATCAAGCGAAGGGCTAATGAAGGCGGTGTTCAAGCTGCATTCTATTGAAGGAAATAAGCATCCATGCTAACGAGAGGTTAATAGTAAATAACCTGATAGAGGTGGTCAGGTTGTGCGTCGATGGAAGCAAACTAACAGTGCCAAATGAGCAAAGTCCTGTTGGGGCTTCGATCTTTCCTTGAAGAATAAGATGAAAGAGATGGTTCAAAGTGCAATAGGGAAGAGGTCGATGGAATCTGCCAAGTATGTTTGACCTTTTTAAGGTTGTTCATCAGAGTACTGCTCGATGACGTTAACTTGTGTGGAAGAGGTTGAGAGAAATTCATCAAGGATATTTGACTTATCTAAAGTTATTTGTCTGAGTGTTGCTCGATGGCATTAACCTGAGCGGAAGAGATTGAGGGAATCTACCAATGATGTTTGATATGTTTGAGGTTTGTCAGAGTGTTGTTAGATGACGTTAACTCATGTGGAAGAAGTCGAATTGAATACCTCTTGGATCGATTATGCCTTGATTGGAAGGGGAGAATATTGCGTGTATCCCGAATCAAAGGTGAAGAATGGTCTGTCTTTAAATCATTATTTTGAGGTTGAGACTATGACCTTACCCAATGTGTAGAAGTCTAAGTAAAGTATTGGAGAGACTTGTTGATCACAATCGTATTTGAGATAACAACCAAAGTTTCCCCTAGTCTAATTTTGCTTCTCATGAAATTGATGCAGCAATAGTTGATGGTTAAGAGGTGAAAAAATAATATCAGCTTGAATGTTTTCTTCCCTTTGAAGTTGCTTGTAATATTGAAAGGACTTCTTTTGAACTTAATAATAAATCATGATAAAGGGACTGCCTTGCTTCAAATATGCCCAAGATGTTGACATAAGCGATCTTTCAAGGTTGCCTCCCGGCCATGAATCATTTTCTCATAGATGATGTCATATTGTTGCGTCCTAGGTAGAGATATATAAAGTTGAGCGTCATAGCTTTGCACGAAGATCTAGCACACAAAAATATAAAAAGTTGGGTGCAATATTCATAAGAGATACCATTTTTTTTTTTGTTTGAAAGAATCCACTAATATTTATGGTTTATTATAAATGATAGCTCTCATTGGAGGAGGGTGTTGGTTCAATGTAGCAAATGCATATTGTATAGAATGTATTATATGGCAGTAGTTCTTAAGAGAGTATTGGAATATTTATTTGGTTAGAAGGACCATAGCTGGCGAGCGACAATGGTCGGAAGGACCGTAGTCAGTAGGTGATGGTGGTTAGAAGCTGTAGTTGACGAGCGACGGTGGTCGGAAGGAACGTAGTCAAAGAGCGATAGTGTTCGAAAGGACCGTAGTCGATAGGCGACAGTGGTGGGAATGATCGTAGTCATAATTGAGTGATCGATCTTGGACTCATTGGATTCGTCTCGTTGAGCCACTCAATTCAACTATAAGCATGTCATATTTGGATTTCATTTGGTCATCCAATTAATATTCTAAATCTTCCAAATAGGCTTTGGTCATTTGATTTGGACCCCTTTAGACTCGGGCTGGATCGAATTTGGTGTTGTTGGGTTCGTCACCTTGAGATATTCAATTTGATTATAAGCTTGCTCAAAACTTTTCAACATGGATTGCCTTGAGATTCATGCCTGATAAAGGAGATTTTTGGTGATGTATCAAGAAGTCATAGCAAATAAAAACATGGAACATAAATCTCAAATAATTTAGACAAAATTGTTAGCAAAGATCCCCGAAATTTCTGGAACTTACATTTCTACTATTTTCTTTACCCAAGAACCACAATTGTTCGGATTTTTGTTATCTACCAAGTTGATTCATAAACTTCATGGCCAAACCAAAACATTGATTAACGTTTTAAGTAAATGAAGACATTTAAAGGAGCATCCAATGTGGGATTTTCGCTTAAATTTAAAAATCCTAAGCTCCAATTCCCAATGAAGACCACATGTTAGGAGTATAAGTGAGTTTAGCTGACTAGAGAGCTGGCTCAGGCTTGCTCGATAAATGGCTTGTGAGACATGCTCGATAGGATAAGGACAATTTGATAATTATTATCTTTTTATTATAATAATTATGTAAATCACAATCTTTTTCTCTCTTTCATAATAAATGAGCCGGCTATAATAAAGCTTGAGCTTTTATTATTTTTGACCGGTTTATTATTTTTTTTCTTAATTTTTTTTTTTACTTTTGAATACAATATTCTTATTTTTTATCGAATATGTTAAATTTTATAGGTAATAAGTTATTAAAAAAAATTAACCAAAACTGGTTAATGGGTAGGGTTTGGGTCATTCGGGTTGCTAGCGGATCGGATTCGGGTCAATATTTTTGACATATTTATTAAACAGATGAATTTGGTTCGAGCTAATTGGATTCGAGTCGAAGACCTAAACCCAACCGGTCGACCTGTTTTTTCACCCCCTATGTTAAACTAACACTCAAAGCAGATCTCTTGTCACCATTATGACAAATCTAAATGGTTGATCACCCATATACACCCCAAAATTGAAAATAGTGCACTCAAATGCAAGCTAAGATGTTTAATTCATAGCTCCTCTAAGGTAAGATCAAAACAACCCCCTTCGTAGAGATGTTAACTCAACGAAGCTACCGTAAAAAACAAAAAGAAAGCTATCCTAAACGAAGCCTAAGATGTACATGCAATATCAAAATGCCCTATAGCATGTTCTACCATAGGTCATTTGAGATGAGGTTAAACTAACTCACTAAGATTAGGTTAAACTATCACTCCAATGGAGTCTATCTTTTTCTTTTTCCTCGAAGAAGTCGACATAGTTGGTGCCCTATGTCGGTGCCCCTTGGTCTATGGATACCCTTGAGATGAGTTAATGATTTCATCGTCGAATTTTGATATTATTTTTTAAGGAAAAAAATCTAAAAATAAAAGCACTCTTTTGATGTTTGGTTTAAAATAAAATTGGTAAAATAATACAATTACATTGTAGATCATTTCCTCCACAACTCCAAAAGCAAATACAACAAAATTGGTTATAGCTATTTTACATGCATTTATTTTACATTTGAAGTACATCAAACTTAAGTCCCTAAGGGCTCAAGCTATTAAATTACTAAAGTAGTATTCTTTCAAAATATAATTAAGAGAAGAGATGACTCGGCTTATTTAAATAATATACACAAAATTATAATTTATTATTAAATAAACATGAATCGAACACCTATGTCCATTAATTTTTTAATTTCTTTTAACTGGTCTTTCAATGACCCGATTATGAGAGTAATCGTATAAAATCCGGCTTATGTTAAGACAGATAAAGATAGACCTAAATTGCCTTGGATAAAAAGCATTAGAAATGACCTTTATTTATCATTTTTAAATGAGCTTCATAAGCTCATAAGCTTCACTTTAATTTCTAACATAATTACTACACATAAACAAGAATTTTTTATATATGATTCATCCATGTCATGATTAGATCTTTATTATATAAAACATTTTCAAAATAATCCCCATTTTACCGACTTAAAGACATTTATTTCCCCATTTTACCATTTTTATTCAAGGTTTACAAAGAATAAAACAACTATATGCAATTAAGACTAGATAAACAGACTTCAAAGCATGAACTTTAACAAAGCTAGCAAAGCCTTCAAAGAGTGTGGCATGGGTGACTCGCTAAGAACTTCAAGGTGGCTATTGCTGAAGAAAGAAGCCTGTAGCCAAAGTTCTCAGTTATACAGATGCTGATGATTCCTCCATAGGGTGCCAAAATCTGTTGTAGAACCACAGTGTATCAGCTTCCACCGCGTAGCCATCTTGGTTGCGATGCCAGGAATAATAAGCGTGTGTTCTATTCTTCACATCAAATATGGCATGGCCAAAACTAGCCTCCCTGAATGCCGAGTACTTAGGCTGAGGCTCTGTCATGCTGCAATGAAATAGATTTTAAAAACAAGAAAGAACCAACGTTTTACACTGAAATTCGCTATAGATAACTCCAATAAATAAATTTATGATTTTATTTGGGACAGCTTTCTTATTGCTTTATAAAACGACTTTTTAGTATAACAATTTCTTGAACTAGAAATTTTGATACTAGAAAGTTGTTTTAGAAAATAGTAAGAAAGCCATCCCAAACGAAGGGACAATTTTTGTACTGCTTTCTAAAACGGCTTTCTAGTACAACAACAACAACATCAAGCTTTGTCCCACTATATGGGGTCGGCTGCATAAATCCTTTTTCGCTATTGTGTCTTGTTAAAAATAAAATTCTCATTTAAATCTAATAAAGAAAAATCATTTCTAATATTTTCTAACCAAGTCTTTTTAGATCTACCTCTACCTTTCTTAATATAAGTCAAATCTAATACCTCAAATTTCTTAACCAGATCATCGGAAGGTCTACATTTAATGTGACTCTCTAATCTTATCTTCCACTGGAGCTACTCCAAAAATTTCAAATTTAAAAATTTTTTGTACTAAAAAATTGTTTTAGAAAGCAAGAAGAAATCCGATCCAAACGAGACCGAAGTCTAAATAAACTTACTTTTTAACAAGCCCTTCTTGATTTCCACCATCACCAATAGTGATGTACACCGGGGCAGACTGGTCAGGAACAGGACTGCATTCCCCATTCACAATATTATATGCAATGTTTGATATCCTTTCCTGAGCAAATTGGAAAGTATGTTAGCTCAATATATTTAATAGATATGAAAATGTTATAACATAAAGTTGAAACTTAAACTTTCAAAACAAATTAAGGCTTCGTTTGGGATGGCTTTCTTACTGCTTTTTACAGTAGCTTTCAAACACAAATTTTTTTATTTTTTACTAAAAAGCTACTTTAAGAAGCAGTAAGAAAGCCGTCCCAAACAAAGCCCAAGTAAATTGAAAGAAGAAGAGCACTTACACTGCGTTCATATGCATGAACATGGCCAGCAAATACAACGTCAACCTTGTACTTTACAAACCATGGCTCGTATATAACTCGCATGGTTTCACCCTCCATGTAGTGGTGATTATAACTATTGTACCATGGGGAATGCATGAGAACAATTAGCCAAGGGGTCTCGGTTCTATTTACTTTTGGCAGCTCAGCCTCGAGCCAATTGTACTGAGGAGTGTATGTCCCTGTACACAGAAAGATGAACTTACAATTTTGATAGGAAGAAACAATGAACTGTGCATTACAATTCCTTCAAAATATTATAATGGGAAGTACAAGTATTTGATCATTGATTATGAGCTTAGGAATGTAACTCTAAACAGAAAAAGGAAGCTCACTTGTTATGAGCTTGCCATATGTTTCACAACATCGAAATGGAATGATTTACAAGTAATTGGTTAACTAAGAGAGTAAAGTTTTGTTTGGGACGGGATTTTTACTGTTTTTTGAAGCAGCTTTTTAGTATAAAAATTTTAATTTTTGTACTATAAAGATGCTTTAAGAAGCAATAAGAAAGCTGTCTCAAACGGATCCTAAGACTACTTATTGAGTGATGAACAATTAAATTTTTTTTCTATAACAATATATCTCAAATATGTTACTAGATAGTGTTCAGCAACACAAAGGCTCAATGGAAAACATCCAACTTTATCCATAATGATCATCTTCAAACTAAAAATATAATGAAAAAAGAGCGGGCATACCGTATGCTGAATATGAAGCAAGGACAATGATGTATGCTGAGGCTCGCTTGATGGAATACCATAATGGAGCTGTACTACCTGAAGCTTTGTATGGGACATGATATCGATTTTTGTAAGGCTTGAAAGGAACACCTTCACCCTGCACAATTTAGTAGAAATCTCAATCACTGAACTTCAAAATCATGGAACTTACAGACCAAAAACTTCTAGAAGGAAAATAACTGTAAATGTGATGAAAAAAAAAAAAGATTTTGGATTAAAAATGTCCATGGTAAATAAACAAGACCTGACTAGCAAATAGAATCATGTCAGGACGAAGCTAGTTCTTGAAGAATCACTTAGTGAACTGGTTTGGATAGAACCCGACCATATCCCTTTTGACAACATTCGGCGAGTCAGACCGGGTTTAGGAAACACAATTCAAGAAAAGAGAAATTTTGTGTGAGTTTGCAAGCCCGCACCTAACCTTTGTTTCCCTATTTATAGGTAGAGATTAAGGTAAATGCTACATAGTTGAAAATATTATACAATTACATAGAATGCATAGGTTGATCTCATATTAGCTAGTTATGTAGCAAGTGGCTCCACCTCGTGAGTCGAAGGAAGCCCCAAGAAAGTTAGTGGACTCCACAGTTTAGGCAAGTACCGTAAATGACTTCCGTGGGACCGTGGGTATGTACTCTCAGCAGGAACACTCTGGCAAATTCTCCAATTAAGAACCTCTTATTGGTCAACAAGTATTATGGTGAGTATTCTAAACAAGTTTGTGAGCACCTCAGATTCTTAGCAAGTTAGTGACTTCTTGAGTGTGACAGCCCAAAATATGAATTTTTTTTTAAATGAAAATCTAAATTTATGTTTGAACTTAAGCACTGCGACTCTAAGCTTGTGAGCTATGAGGCACTACCCTTTGAGCATAGCAGCGCCAGAAACCGTCGTCGCGGCATAGAAGCCTCTATTCTACAGTTATTCTGAATTCAATATGTGGCGCTGCGGCGCAAGGCCATTAAAATTATTTTTATATTTATTTAATAAAATCTTAAACACTAAAAGCCTCCAGCACCGTCACCTTCTCCCCCATTTTTATTGTCTTACGTGGAGGAAGAGAGGAAAAGGGAGAGGAAGAGATATGGATGAGAGAAAGCAGGTTTTAGTCATTTTCGTCCATCGCTTCTGTTATGAAAAGTCATTTGATCGTTATAAGTAACCCAAATCTCACTTTAATTCTCAATGATTTTGAATTTGACAAATTTAATCTCTTCTAATCGATAAAATATATTTTCTCCTGATTTATTGCATTTTTACTTTGTAACTTTTCGTATATGATACATACGAACTTTATTGATATTTTGACTTTAATAATATTGAATTTCACCTACTAAAATAAAAGCTTAATGATTTTCTAAAGCTATCGATTATTATACAGATTTTCTCGAATTTATAGATTTTAATATTTCATATTGCATTTCATGCATGAAGGGAGATTGATATAACTGATATGAAATAAATATAGTATTTGCATGTAAGCAAGAAAAACTGGTTGTTAAAAATATAACTAATATGAATTTGCTCTTAAAACATAATATCCTATACAGAAGGGTGGGGTGACAGGCCTTCCTTTAAAGATGATTTATAGTGTTATCACAGTTGTAGCCTATAACTGATAATCAATCATGCCGGCGGGCTGAGGGTGATGACTCTTAATGATTTATTGAAAGCCAGCTTAAATGATAAAATGATAAAATGATAAAAATGTTGTAATGATAATAAATACATATGAAGGAATGAAAACACCACATTAAAATTGAATGTTCTGTCTTACTAAACTCTATATTGAATAATATACTAATGCAATTCATATATTAATAGCGTTAATAACACTGATAGATAAACAGCGAAGTGTGTGTGCATTACATATACTGATTTCATAAGAAAAAATAATTGATAAGATAGATAAGACTGATGACCTTGATTATATTAACGCATGAATGTTCGCGTTATAGTACTGATTTATTTATTTCTGATGTAATTATGTTCTCATACTTGTGACTGATTTATGGATTTTAGCATGATGTTTCTCATTTCTCGTTATTGATCATATTAAATCGTGCTAGGGATAACTGATCATTGATGATATTGAATGCTACTGATTTTATTAATTGAGATGAGCATGCATATTGATTTCTTAGATCTTGTATTAAAATCTTTAGCTGTTTTTGAGTTTCTGTTGGATTTTGTAAGTTTATTATGTGATTTTTTTGATTACATGTCAGAGAAGGAGTCAAGACCGTGCAGAGTGATACCGATTGAGATTCTTAATAGTACTTTTGATTTCGTTCTATATTTTATTTTATTCTTTTGTAACTAGGAGTCATTGATATATTAGAGATTGTTAGTGATCTCTTGGGTATCGTAAATGTAATTTTGATGAATAAATATAGTGAGATATTTTATGGTGTATGATATTTAATTGATTTCACTAGATATTAATTTATAAGAATGATTTAAGCTTTGGTAAATAATTAAAAAGATTAAATAGTCTTCCAATTTAGATCTTGGGATGTGAAATTAAGACCCTTGGTGAGTTCAACGACTTAATATTGAGGAATGAGTTGCAGCTAGCTCTTAGACAACCATTTGGTAATTCAACAACTTGCACATTTTAAGGTTTAAGGTGAATGCCAAGCAAGCAAGCTCCGAGTTGTAGTGGTTTAAGCTAAGTCAACATTTAGTACAACAACAACAACAACATCAAGCCTTTATCCCACTACGTGGGGTCGGCTACATGAATCATTTTTCTCCATTGTGTCCTATTAAAAGTCAAATTCTCGTTTAAATCTAATAAAGAAATGTCATTCCTAATATTTTCTAACCAAGTCTTTTTAGGTCTACCCCTACCTTTCTTAACATAAGTCAAATCTAATACCTCTACTCTCCTAACATTTAGTGACTTTCATAATTTGATAATCCAATCTATGCCAATAGGGGTGTACATTAGTTCTCTGATATTTGAGCTCCTTCTGAGAACTCGAGAAGGATAGGAAAATTAAATTTCTAAAATTTGATTTGGTATGAATGTTACAAGTTACAAGCGTAAATAAATCTAGAGCAATGGAATAAAAAAAATGCTTAGATTCTTAATGCATGTCCTATAAATTAGCAATGACGTCTATAAAATCAAGGTCTAAGTTTCATCTTCTAAATTTTTGAGTTTGTTAAGATCCCAAACTTTGATTTTTCATATATTCTCTTTTGGAAAATGAAAAGAAAGCCTCGAGCTAAATTGTTGTGGATGGGCTACAAAAGCCATTCAATAAAGAAGCATTGAAGAGGAAATTCCCGAAGTTTGTTAATGTATCTTCATAAAAAAGAAGTCCCATAGAAGAAAGTAAAGAACAAGGAAAACCAAGAGAATCTGGATCCTCAATAAATTAAAGAACGTCAAATGAATCTAGTCAATAGGACCAAATTTAGCCTTGCAAAAAATCAAGCACCAACATCTTAAACTTCAAAGGTAGTTGAGCCACTACGATTTGACAAAAGAAAGAGTTTTTCAGTCGAGCCTCAAGGTTTTATAGGTCTACAAGGAAGAAGACTCACAACAACATTCGTTTCAAGGAGAAAGTTCATTATATTGAGATGGAACCACAATGGAAACCCTCGAGTTAGGAAAAGTTTGGGTCTAATGGACCCAATAGATTCTCGACTATTCTGCGTGTTTTACACTCTTCACATCTAAAAGGATATTGGATCCAAGATGTCCATCAAAAATAAATTGGACTTTACTAAAAAATTGAATCACGCTTGGATGAGACTATAGGAGAATAGGAAGGGAGAGAGTTAGTTGTCAAAGAATCTCCAAAGACTTGGTTTATTAAGAAAAAGGCAAGTCACATCAAATTAAGAGAACACAATTCAAAGAATGAGATAATTCGTGTTATTTTCAATGCCCTTGCCTGACCTCTAAGACCCTATTTACAAGTAGAGACTATAGCCAATGCTATAAAATTGGCAATTTCATACATACAGAAAATGAGTTCACTTTGTGAGTCGAATGTAACCCTTGGTGAGTTGATAAGTTTTATATTTCAAAAGTACCTTTGGAACTTCCCTAGGTTGGTACTCTTGTTAGTAAATGAGTACTCTTGTGAGTATTCTAAGCAGGTTAATGAGTACCTCAAGGAAATACCCTTAGCGAGTGAATGACTTCTTGATTCCATTGGCAAGGCCAGTGACTTAATGTAAAGAATCAAGTTTAAGCCAGTTATTAAGTGGCTAGTTGGCAATCGGGTCGCTTGATGATTTCAAGGTTTCAACCAATTCAGAGTATAAGTGAGTATAGAGTAGCAAATGGTTTAAGTCAATTCAACATTCAACAACTTTCTATATTTAATTCGGGTCCACATACATCACAGCTTGATTAACCTAACCCCTATAAATATTGTAAAAAAAGCCATTATTCATCACTCATATTATAAAATTTCTCAGAATTTTCAAATCAACTTTCCTAACCTAAAAAAATATCAAAAACATATTATTTGAAAGAGAATTTGTAAAAATAAATAAAAGAGGGTAAGTAGTCATTATAACAAAAAAACACGGTAGCATGAGCAAATGACACTCACAATCTCGGGCGCAAAGTCTATCTCATGATTCCCTGCAATCCAAATCCAAGGCTGATATGCAGCACTTCTCTCAGTAAACCTTCCCCAAGTGTCCCATCTGACATTGTCGTGATACATGTAGTTATCAGCATAAGAAAGATCACCCAAAAATAGCACTGCTTGCCCTTTTATTGGGTTTGACTCATAATGAGTAAGTGTACGATTTGAATCAAAACTTTGTCCAAGGTCACCTACATGTATATGAGAATCATATAAAACTACCTCAAGTAATAGAAATGAAGCCAAAGAAAGAACAAATAAGAAACTTTTATAGCAAAAAGTATACAATGCAGAGAAAGTGAAGGTACAAAGTGTTAAGCAATTAAAAAGTCACCTATAGCTAAATTGACCATAATGACAATGAGAATATTAAGATAGATAACAAGCAAAACTACGAAGGATAAATTAAGAAGTAATAATATTAAAAGAATGTTTGGAGCAATATTTATCAAAGATAAACTATTTTAAATAGACTTAAATAGTTCTAACGTGTATAACCCAAGATAGAAATCATTACCTAGATAGATAGTTAAACTATAGGTTGAAGTATTAGGAATAACAAGGAGAGACCTAAGATAAAATTAATATAAATTGTTAAAAAAAAAATTGCAAAAAAATAGATTAACACCCCTTTTACCACCTTAAAAAATGAATAAAAAAAATGAGGACTAGTAAAGTCAACCTCAAAAAGTTGAGATAAGGCTCATGATGATGTTGTTGTTGTTGTTGATGATGATGATGATGATGATAAGTACAAGGTTAATTAGAGATGCAATCATCTTGCAATTGTCAAAGGAACCAATAAAGCATCGAAAATAGAATGTTACCTATAAGGCCAAATGTGTAAGGAACATCGGGCCCGACTTTTGGAGGTGTTGTGAACCAAAACTTCCTCAGTGTATGTCCAACCCCAACTGCATAGTAATACTTTGTATCATACTGAGATACACGAGCAAAACCATTCCACAATAAAAGTATACTTCAAAATCATGAAAATCCAATCAAAGCATAAGGAAGAATTTTTTACTAATAACAACCTTATCAATCAATTCAATAAATTCTAGAGTAAGAAAATAAAAGTTGATCATTACTAATCACAAAACCTTCAAATTTCTGATAGTGCAATGATGAATGTATCCTGAGGTGTAGTTGTAGTATATGTACTGATGCACCCTACCCTCAGCTGAGAAAGTGAGGTGGTTTTCACATGTCCCGTACAGGACTAGGCTTGAACCGGGCTCATCAGGTGTCACCCATGATACTATTATTGCCGACCCATCATGATCACCTTGAGTAATATGGACCTTCAAAATCAACCAAACTTCATCACTTAGTGGCACAAAGAAAATGAAACATAATTACTCATAATATACCATAGAATCTTCATATAAGCAAGGCACACCCAAAATATATTCATATCAATCATAGAAAACAAGGAAGATACCCACAGGAAAAAGGATTAAATGAAATCTGAAGTCTTGGAACAAAAAAAAGAAACAAAAAAAGGAGAAAAAGCTCCAGCGTTCGTAGTAAGGCGATCTAATAACTCGATTAAGAAATTTACTCTACACTTCCAGAAAGAAGGAAGCATTAGAGACAGTAATCTCACGAAGAATTCATCATTACCGTTCCTTTTATATTGAAATATCTCTTCTTCTGAACAAGAAAATGATCTCAATGTAAATTAAATGATGATTAGGCATCAGATATAGGATTTTATAGAAGGAATCAATCATAAGATTTCTGTAGAAACATTAACTGGTAATAACACATACTCTGCCCTTTTCATCCGTTATTATTATTCATTAGTTCATAAGCATCAATATATTCTTCAAGTAGCCGACAAGTAAACACACACAAAACAAGAAACGAAAACATACAAATGGAAGCCTCAGCACTTATGATACAACCAACCAATTGGCAAAAACCCAAAAGCACCAAAATGAAAACCAAAGTGAACTGAAAATTAAAGAAAAAATAAAGAGAGCTGGAGAGAGACAGCAATATTTAGCCAAGAAACTTAATCCATTGTCCAAATAGCAGAATATTATGCACACAAAAAACATGAAAAAAAAAAAACAAACAAACAAATCAAAGACATAACAATCATGATACAATCAACCAATTAAAAGAAAAGATAAAGGGGTACAACCCAAAAGCTCCAAAATTAAAATCTACATGAACTCAAGCAGAAGAAAAAGTAAAAAAGGAACAATCTTTTTGCAAACCAGCCAAAAGAATAAGAGAAAGAAAAGCTGCAAAACCTGTTGTGGAGCATTATAGCCCGGAGGAACACGAAAGACATCACTGTCAAGAGGCATGTCGACGGCTTTCTCATCCTTTCGGACGAAAGCGCTCGTCTTTCCTGCATCACAGAGCCCTGCGAGTGCAGAGAACGCCACCAACAATGCCGCCGCCGCAGCCGCAGGCGAAGTAGGCCAAGACCGCTTCACTCGACGCATGGTAACCACAAGCCTAATGCGGCTTTGGGTTGCTGAAGGGTGTTTAAATACGGAAGGGAGGGGAATATTCACTAAAAAGTGCCGCGCATCGCTTTAACTTATAATAAGAAAAATGAAGAAACAAATTCACCACCCTGCCGTCAGAAAAAAACTGAGAGCAGTAGAAATTCTTGAAGAAATTAACCGGCCTCCATCTGCTAATTAAGAACCAAGAAAGTGATAACAAAGCTGAATGAAAGGAGAACAGGAATCGGAAAACAGAGAAGTGGAAAATGGAATTCTATTCATCAAACAATCTGTACAGGAGAGTGTCTTAAATAGGCAAAAATGATAAAGACGTAAATACAAGTAATAAGCCTAATTCTAAATGATATCTGCTAATACCCTCCCGCAAATTAAGCATTCGGAGTGTGAATGTTTAATTTGTTTCGGAGCTCAAGGAACCGAGTAATCGAGAACGGCTTGGTGAAAATGTCGGCAATTTGATCGTTAGAGAAATATGTTCGAGCTTAATGTTGCCGGATCCAATTTGCTGACGAATAAAGTGATAGTCAATCTCGATGTGCTTGGTTCTAGCTTGAAAAACAGGGTTCTTGGCGATAGCCATGGCCGACGTGTTATCACAATAGATGGTTGTTGGTGAGAGCTGTGGAAGCTGGAGTTCGGTGGCAAGACGGCGTAACCAGACGACTTCGGAGGCTGCAGCAGAAAGTGAGCGGTACTCGGCTTCTGTCGAGGACTTAGCTACCGTCGGCTGCTTTTTGACTGTCCAGGAGATCAGATTTGGGCCTAAAAAAGTACAAAAGCCCGAGACAGACTTCCGATCATTGGTGTCGGATGCCCAGTCAGCATCCGAATAGGAGCGAAGATCTAAGGAACCCACGGTGATCGGCAAACCAAAGGAGAGAGTTCCTTTGATGTAACGCAGAAGTCTTTTGAGAGCCTTGTAGTCATGTTCGGTCGGAGATTGCATATGCTGGCAGATCCTGTTAGTAGCAAAAGCAATATCCGGTCGAGTAACAGATAAATACTGGAGAGACCCGGCAAGCCGGCGGTAGAGAGAGGGATCCTGAAACGGCTTCGGATTGGGTTCGTTATGCTTCTTTAGCGGCGTGATTGGAGTGGGGGCTGGCTTGCAATCTTTAAAACCTGAATCTTTTAATAATTGAGAAGCATAATGTGCTTGAGATAAAAAATAACCTTTGTTGGAACGAGTCACCTGAATACCGAGGAAGAGAGAGATTGTGCCAAGCTGTTTGAGAGCGAAGTGCAGTTGTAGTTGTTGTAGTAGTTGCCGAATTGCAGGTTCATTATTTCTTGTTACTAAGAAGTCATCAACATAAATCAGTAAGTATATATAAATATTATTGCGATGAAGAATGAGAAGAGAGGGATCAGAGCGACTAAACCCGAATCCAAGCTGTTGTAGAAAGCTTGTAAGTTTCTGAAACCATTGACGAGGTGCTTGTTTGAGCCCGTAAAGTGATTTGCGGAGCTTGCAGACCGCATGTGGTTGATCGGGATCGGTAAAGCCGGGCGGCTGACGCATGAAGATGTCGTCGGGAAGGTCTCCATGAAGAAAAGCATTCGCAATGTCCAACTGATACATAGGCCATTGTTGATGAAGTGAGAGAACGAGAAGAAGACGTATTGTAGGCATTTTGGCAACCGGGCTGAAAGTTTCTGTATAGTTGATCCCGAATTGTTGATCATAGCCGAGGGCAACGAGACGTGCTTTGTAACGTTGGATCTGACCGTTAGGAAGACGCTTGATTTTATAGGCCCATTTGCAGCCGAGGACCGGCTTGTTCGGGGGAGGAGAAACGAGAGTCCAGGTCGACTGTTTTTGAAGCGCATTGAATTCCTCTTGCATAGCAGACCGCCGACGCCATTTTGCTCAGGCGTGTGAGGACAAGAAAGTTGATGAATAATACCATTGTCTTGCAAGAAGAGGCGAAACTCACGACTGGTGTATTCACCACCACCGTCGGAACGAAGAATCTTGGGAATGTGATTAAATTGAGTTTTAGTGTAATTGCAAAAGTTTTTAAATTTACTAAAGACCTCACTTTTGTTGTAAAGAAGATACATCCACGAGAACCGAGTGTAGTCATCAATGAAGATCACGTAATACCTATGACCGTCCAGAGAAATATGCGGGGCAGGACCCCAAACGTCCGTATGCACAATTTCAAAGGGAGCTTTAAAAATGGAACGACTATTATTAAACGTAAGTTTGTGGCTCTTGGCCCGGTTACAAGAATCACAGAAGAAAGAATTAGGTACATTAAGAATTTCAGGAAACAATTTCGACAAAGCAATGTGAGTATCACGATTCGGATGAGCAAGACGGGAATGCCAAGTCTTGGAAGCAGGAAGGTTGGCTGTGAGAGCCGCATGGGAAATGCCTGGTGCAGTGCGGATGTGATAAAGACCATTAAGAAGATGGCCACGAAGCAGCGGATGATGGTCCCGAGAGTCCTTAATCACAAAACCGTTAGCATCAAAAGAGATTATAACAGAATTATCGGAAGTAAGACGAGAAACAGATAGCAAATTATGTGTGAGAGAAGGCACATGTAGGAGGTTGTTGAGTTTTAACTTACGAGCCGTATCCGGTAGAGGAAGAAGTCCTTGACCTGTGTTGGTAATGGGTAGAGTGCTGCCATTAGCCGCCGAAACAGTGTCCGAGCCTTGATAAGACGTCGGGTAATAGAGATGATTCGCATCGGGAGTCAGGTGAGTGGAGGCGCCGGAGTCAAGAATCCAATCTTGACTGACCGGCGGCACAGGATTGGCCAGGAGAGCGCGGGGTTGTCTCGTGTCTGTAGGCGCGTACTTTGGATTGTGGCGGTGCCAACAGTTAAGTGCGACATGGCCAAGCTTACCACAAATCTGACATGTAGGCCGAGCAGTTTGCTGAGGAGTAGCATAGTTCGGCGGAGGAACGGGTGATGGTAGAGAAGAAAATTGGTTCTTGGGTTTACTGGAGCGACGATTGTTCCCATTGCGAGGACGAGAGGAGTTAGAAGATGCAGCATAAAGGGCGGTGGGGGCTGTAGTGCCGGTAGAATCTTGCAAGGTTTCTTGATGAAGATGAATCTCTTCATTGCACAGAAGTGCATAAAACGTATCAAGATCAATCGGCAACAGGGAATTACGAATGGTAGATTTGAACGAGTTGTAGGTTGGCAGCAAGCCATTGAGAATGTGAAGCATAACATCTTCAGACTCAATCTTCGATCCGGACGCAGCTATATTTTCCACGAGTGTTTTAATGTGCGTAAGGTACTGTTGAACAGAGAGGTCCTTCATTTGAGAGCGGTAGAGCTCGTTCTTGAGCTGAATGACACGGGATCGGCTGGTAGGTTGGAGTCTTCGTTCAAGAATGTGCCAGGCTTCATGAGCGGTAGTGGCCGTGAGAATGTAAGGTAGAATAGATTGGGAAACCATGGCAAATATGGCAGCAAGAAGATTGCTGTCTATGAGCTGCCACTGTGCGTAGTACGGCGAAGTAATATCTGTCGGAGCAAGAACCGTGCCAAGAAGATGACCTGCGTACCCATTTGCGGTGAACTGTTGAAGCAATTGAACACGCCAAATATGATAGTTGTCGGTAGTGAGATGGTGAGGAGCAAGATTTTTGATATTGGACACAAGAAACTTAAGATTTGATGGAATCAGAGGAGACGGGCTGGTACTGATCGTCTGAGAGGAGGAGGAGGGGGAGGAGGCCGGAGGTATGGAGTCCATGAGATCTTGTTAATCTCTGATGGCTCTGATACCATGATAGCAAAGCTGAATGAAAGGAGAACAGGAATCGGAAAACAAAGAAGTGGAAAATGGAATTCTATTCATCAAACAATCTGTACAGGAGAGTGCCTTAAATAGGCAAAAGATGGTAAAGACGTAAATACAAGTAATAAGCCTAATTCTAAATGATATCTGCTAATAGAAAGCCCATAAGACGAAGAATCCCAACCAGCAGGCGAGCCAAAAAGCAAATTCAAATAAACAAGAGCCCAACTTAAATAGCAAGCTATCAGAGAGCTATCAGAAAACTACTTGAAATAGGCCAAGACTCCAACACCAACAACAGCCAACAAGAAAGGCCAAAATAAAACTCAAAAAATAATAAGAACCCAATAACAGCCAAAAGGAAAAACTCACCAAAACCAACAACAGACTAACATCAGCATACCCAAAAATCAATCAGACCAAAAAAGAACCAACAACAGATGAACAGAAACCACAAACAAGAAAATCCAAAATACCAGAAAAAATAAGAATCAAGCAACCGAACTCAGAAAGGGAGAAACCTCCTAAAGATAAAAGAAACAAATCAGTCCTTGGTTGCCATGGTTGCTTCTGAAAATGATGCTGATTGGGCTTATTTGGTTTGGCACAAAAAACACTCTCTTAGACACTCTGTTTATTCCTGGATGGCTCTCTCTAATGGTCTCAAAACTTCAGCTGCATTGAGTGCTAGAAATATTGTTATTACGGACGTTAGCTGCCCACTTTGCCATCTTCACCCTGAAACCACCGTTCACCTTTTGTTTGAATGCGACTATTCTTTTCAGGTTATATGTAAGCTTATCCCTCAATTTACAAGTTTTCTCCTTAGACCTAACATTGCTCAAGCGTTTCAGTTTATTTCTGGGTTTGAATCTTCTATGGAGGTTAAGTTTGGGCTTTTACTGATCCTTAACGTTACTGTGTACTTCATTTGGACTGAGAGGAATTCAAGGAAGTTTAATGGGAGGATTTCTTGTGCTATTACGTTGGCTAAGAAAATTTCTAATGTGGTTTACCTGAAACTTGATAGATGGAAATGTGGAAATTTGGTAAAAGAAAAACTTATGGTGAAGTATCATTAATTTGTCTATTGCCGGGGCATGAATTTTCTGTTTGCTGCTTTGTTGCCTGCTGGCTCGACAATTTTTGGGTTATATGCTGCTGGAATATGATTTTTCTGGGAGAGTATTTGAATTTTGATGGTCTGTTAAGTGGTGGTTGGTATTTCATCACCTTTTTTACTGGAATGGT